TGTTTTTTTTCTACTGAAATAAATGTTAAAAGTTTATAGTTTTTTTTTTTTTTTTTTTTTTTTTGGGGGGGGGGGGGGGACTGTTGGCGAATTTTAGATTTAGGTGGATTTCGGCTCATAGATATATTTTTTTCTGTTTTATTATGTGTTTAAGTTATCGTCACGTTCCCAAACTTTTGCATTCCACTACCACGGCTAGTGCAACATTCTAACGGAATTTCAGCTTTCTGCAAAGCCTAATTTATTTATGAACAAAAAAAAAAGTTTTATTTACGTGCCCTGTAGTTTAAACTTTATTTATTATTAGAAAGGATAGGTTCTTATAAATTAAAGCCGCCAACTTCTATGACATTGACGGACCTCATACGATGTATTGTATTGAATAAACTAATATACAAGGAGTTAAAAAAAAAAAAAAAAAAAACCAGAACAGTGTTTTGGGCTCAGGTAAATAAACTGTGCATCGCAGAAAACTCAAACTACGCGAGAATGTGTCTCTAGTGGTCGGCATAGAACGCGAAAGTTTGAGAGCATCACGTTACCTGGATGGAAAGATAATTGAGAAAAACTAAACTTTTCTTTGAGCCGACGTCCACCTAAGCCTGCTACCCTCAAAGCAAGAAATGACACTGTGGGCACATGTAGCATCTACTTCAGTGAAAAAAACAACAAAAAACTTGTCATCAAAAAAGCAAATATTGTCCTTTTTCTCGCTGAGAACTGCTTTCCAGCGATATAAATCCCACAAGCATCCACAATGTTGATTTCTGCTTTGACAATATTAAGCTTAGGTGGTGGCTGTCGGCTCGTAAAGAAATGTCGTCTTCATCAATTATCCTCTGTTTCTACTAAAGTCACGTTTTGAAACTTTCCCGTTCTATGCTAACCGACAGCGTCACATTCTCACGGAGTGCGAGCTTTCTGCGATGCATAGTTTATTTACTCAGGCCGAAAAACACGGTTCTCTTTTTTTGTGGAGCGTATTGGTAATTGCCCGAGGTTTGTGTTGAGTTCATCGATACCCACAGTGCAGCAAAACGTTAAAGGTGAAACATGTTTGGAATAAATTACGAGAAAAAAAATATCTGAAAAGCTGATAATGTCGGACTTCTATAATTTTAATACCGTTAAAAATAAATCAATTTAAAGAAAAATATGTCTTTCAATCTGAACTGTGCTTTTTACACTGATACATGCGCGAGGAGGGCTGTGAAAACGGTGCAAGTCAGAAACATGTGGGTTGGAATCTCGCGATGTAGACACAGTCGTCATAATTGTTTTTAAAACCCACTCTTCATTGTTTACGCAAGTAACACTAGTTTTTCTGGTTTTGCATCTAATCAATAATTACCGCATAGTGACTTTACAGGAGCACGACTATCCCAAAACGCCTGTGATTTGTTGGTAGCGTCCCCAAATGGTCAATAACAACAAAAAAAAAAAAAAAAAAAGAAGAAGAAAAAAGAAAGCCGAGTGGTTTTTGGCGTCGATTAAGGCACCAGTCTTTTAGGAAACGTGGGTTTGAATCCCACCGCTTCCAATCGTTCCTTTTGACGCAATGAATGTTAATCTCTCCAAACAATGCATACCTTTTCTTTTAAAGGCCGGCGAAGTGTGAGATCGATCATTTGATTCGTTCAAATCAACTGGCGTTCAGGCATTCACGATCATAAATAAGTATTGAATGGTTCCGGTCATTAAATGGGTTTAGTTATTGAATCTCATCATGCCAGATTGTATGCGAAATGACAGGAAAGAATATAAAGCAAATATAGTATGATATTCGCGCTATGTATCAATTACATTCTGTAAAATGTTAATTGTTACGACATACCATTTTATGATGCGAGTTATTTAATAGTTATTTAAATTTGTTTGTTGCTGACTCACCCACTAGCTCGGGGTAAAGTCATTGCCGATTAAAGTATGATCAGTGACAGATCAAGGATTAATTGGCAAGTGCGCCTTTCAGGGGAATATTACTCTCTAAGATAAAACACACTGCTAGATTACTTTAAGTTTTTGAATGCTTTACGAACGAAACTTCAGTCCAAGTTCCTTATCAGCTATAATTCCGTCAGATTGTCATTATTATAAGCTTCCTGGTTCTTTATTGTTTTGTTTACAACCCTGGATTATGTTGCTTTCTTAAGATGAAAGAAGTGACTTCAGGCACGGTCCTAGCAGTACTTCTCTTAGGGAACTATACTTTGAGCTACACAGCGGTCGTAGTGTGAAATGCCAATCCGTTTCTTTTATGCTCTCCGATCGCTTTTTTCTCGCCTGATATTGTGCGATCACTTGTTGTACCATTTTTTGCTCGTCTGTCTGTTTAACTACCCTTTGTCGTGTTTTTCTAACCATGTGATCGTGAGTTACCAAGTAGCACAGTTCTTTGAACGAAACATTGGTTTCTGTTTGACTATTTAAAGCCCTTAAAGCCCCCCCCCCCCCCCCCCCCAAAAAAAAAAAAAAAAAAAAAAAAAGCCAAGGTGTAATCAAATTTGACATTCTTTGACTAAAGTTTGTGGTATTTTGGCCCTAAAATGCGAAAGAAGTACCTTAGCTAATCTTCTCTGCCTGGCTGTTTCGTTATCGCCTGGCTTCTTTGAACCTTAATCACCAAACGGGTGCCAGAGTTAGGCGTTACTGTCATGTTTGTTCGGTGGTGACCTTGCATTGTTGGGTGTAATTTCTCGAGCAAATGCGAGAATTAGGCTTCACGGTTGGTTGCTTGGTTGTCACGTGACATCTTTTGCTTATGTCTGGCATTGTTTGTCGAACCCAGTGACGGATTCAGAGGGAGGGAAGTTGCGAATGTCCTGAACACCCAATCTAGAAACGCCCGCACCTGCCCCTGTATTCGAACAACAGAAAAGTGAGACCTGGTATTTCTCCGACTTGGGACCAAAGAAAATCTACGTCGGTGTTAACCAACGCCTTGGAACAAAAACCTGATTAGGTCACAGCTAGGCCCCTAGGATTCTCGGCAAAGTTACGATCTTCTATGACGTGCTGCCTGGGTACCGATAGTAAAACTATTGTGCATGGAACCCGTCTCTGACTGCTGTATTAGCGTCCAATTCCACCCATACACAGATTGGGCTCCAGAAGTGGCAAGAAATGACGTCACTAAATCTAGCGTGCCATGTTATCGGATGTCACGATCTTGGTGGTAGTTCATAGAAATGCCGGCGGAAATCACGAGCGATCGCAGGTGTCGCTGTCGTCGCGGCGTCCCAACCCCTGTCTGCCGATGCATCCGTGGTCTGTCAAGCTGAAGAAGAACAGCCGTCTGCCACATTTAACACTGCCGCCGTGACACCACCAGGATCACGGCTGACGACAACAATAACACTTGTATGACGTCACCAGGTGGAAATTGAGGAACCACCTTTGAGGACGCGACAACCACACAAGTTGGAGACGGTTTCCGGTCACCTTTGTAAAATCCTTACTCGCGCCTTCATAGAACGTCAGGACCTCCATAACACTCGACAATCTACGTCGAGGAATGAAATGGTTGGGTGCAGCGTAGCAGGAGCGGCATAACTGTGATTTTTGTTTGCCACTCAGTAAAGTTTGCTGGGAGGAAGGCTTATCACTGATGAAATCTGTATAGTTGTTAATTAAGCCTGGTGAATATGGCTGGTTATGAACGCATGGGACACTTTAGCCATTGCCTCTCAGATAACAAGCCGAGACTGCTAGATTTTCTACTTCACCTAGTGGAGGTCAGTGCAGAGCTCAGATCGGAGACGAGTGCTGCGTTGGCGTTCTCTTGGGGCGCGCCTTTTCTCTGATTGGATGCGAGTCCCATGCCAAACGCTGACGCCAGCATTCGTGTTCTTCGATAGGGGACAAAAAAAAATTCGCTCACGTGGGGTTCAAATATGACGTCATCATGCATACGTGATTTTCAGGCGAGTCAGGAGTTTGATGTCTCATTAGGCCGTGTTAACTTGCAACAGCGACTCAATGTGATACGAAGAAAATTGTAGTTTAAGACTGCATCGTTAAGTCTGAAGTAAGTTAATAAATTACCGAACGCGCTATAAATTACATGGGAAATATGAAACTGGAATTACAAGCGCGGTAATATTTAAATGTGGCGTTTTGAGCAATCATTCTTCATCGAAATTAATTTTTTTTTTCTTCAGGAAGGCTAAAATTCTTTTATCGAGGCGATAATAAAATATGCTTGGGTGCTTGCCATTTTTGTGGACTAAAAAGGGCTGATATGGTATTAAAAAAAAAAGAAAACGAACGACAAAGAAGGTTAGATCTAAAAAAAAAAAAAGCCGCCAGTGCAATTTAATAATTCATTTTGATATCATACCAAACAAGATTTCCAGAGAGATAGTCGTGTTAGTCAGAAAAGAATTCCACAAAGACGCACACAGCTCTGAAGCTAACCTGAGCATATATAAATATGGTAAAAAAAAAAAAATCATACTTTTCAGGCTAATTATTTCGAATTCAAAACAGTTGATCCGGTTAAATTCTTTATATAAGAACGGACCACGCAATGTTTCGCCGCTCCGCAGATATAAGCTAACGCTCTTGAAAACATTGCGCGAGCTAACGCCACGAGAATGATCGCCTTACGCTTCGTAATCAGCCCTTTCATAAGAACTGCGTAATTCGGAGTAAGGTCAAAGGCTAATCCCCTATTGAAAAAAAAAAAAAAAAAAGAGAACCTCTATTTTTTGAGATCAGGTCAAGAGGCTGCTATAAAACAAAGAAAGAGAGAGATATTTTATATTTGAGGTAAGCGAAGAAATAATTGATAATCCATTTTTGCTTTTCAATTGCCTTATATGTAACCCCGGTAAAAATAAAAAAAGGCAAAATCACACGCACAAACAGACCCACACGCACAGACGAAGGATGCAGATGTGGTTGAGAGCCGAGGGAAGCAACGGGATAATGGATAATCCATCTTTTTCTCCCGCCGTCTTATACGAACGGAGAAGGGCTTGAAATAAGGGACGGCTTACCCGTGGCGTTGGGTTCCCCAGCTCGCGCAGCCTGCACGAAGATGCACAGTGCGGACAGGCCGAGCAGGAGCGAAGTCGCCATGTTTCGCGTGTTATGAAAGCGTTACAAACCCCCGGAGCTCTCGGTCTCGGTGAGGGGATCACTGAGAAGCCAGGCGACGACGGCGGGATCGAGCGCTGCGGAAACGCCGCTGCGGCCGTCGCCTGGAAACCAAAGTTCTTTTCATGTTCAGCTTTTCTTGTTTTGAGAGAGAGAGAGATGGAGAGAGAGAGAGAAAGAGGGGGGAGGCGGAGTAGGGGTTCGTCAAACTTCCACGAGATGGCGTGCGATGACCGGGAGCGATTTTGGATTCTCGGATCTCGTGGGTTGCGCGACGTAAAAGATGCAACGGATAGGAGGTGTTCACGCGTGCTTATTAGCGCGAGCAGAGAGGTAAGCAACTTATCGTTAACCACCCCTCCCCCAAACAAAGAACAAAAACAAAAAAAAGACAACAAAAAAACAGCAATTTTGATTATTACGGTGAATGAACGCGATGAAAGATGACTGTCAGCACGCACGCGTCCAGAGCATGGACAGCTCTGGCGGTCAGTGGATACTAACAACGTGAAGCGGGCTTAGTTAGAAGCACTGAATAAACTACACGTCAGAGTCAAATCGCTTCGGCCACCTTTGTCCTTGCTGTCGCCAGTTGTCTCAAGCTTCGTCTGAAATCGAAGAACACGATTTTCCCGTGTTTTCCAAAAAAAAAAAAAAAAACCAAAGACAGTCGACATATGAAAACGAGATTACGCGAGCTTCGTCACACCGTTGTCCAAGAAATCAAATTTGGGAATCGTAAGAGCCGTTTCAAAAGTTCGGCTCCGTCGCCTGACCGCCATTGCTTGATCACGCGCTCTCACTACGCATTGGACACGAATATGACGTCAGCAATCGGCGAGGACTCGGTATCCAATCACGCGCTTCGTGGCCAAGCAATGGCGACCACCAATGTTGCTCGATAGACTTTTGAAAAGGGTCTATGGCGCCCGCTCCGCAGTAAGCACCAAAATGTCGGTGCCCACGAGCAATTCAGGAAATGGAGAGTCGCCACTCTTAGCGTAGCTTATTGAGTGACTCTGTAGCTTTAGTTCATACACCGTATAACTGCATTATAATCTCAATCATCATCGTCGTCATAAAAACGTTACACGCAATCCTCCTCCCCCCCCCCAAAAAAAAACAAAAAAAAACAACAGTAAAACACAAACAGGCCGAAAGTTGTTCTGTTTTCCCCCGAACCTGACTGCGGTGAAATCAAGACACATGTACGGTCTTGTCTCGTCAATATGGATATGTACACTTTGTGACACTCGTAGCGCGAACATATGACATCGACACTTTATCGCATTTTACTTTGAAAAGTGATTGTCGGGAATCGAAAGTGAGCCCGAATGAGGATTTCCCAGCACACTCATAGTTTTGATGACAGTTACTCCAGACTGGGAGAAGACTGAATTTGGCGGTCGCTACCTCACGGTTGCAGTGTCGTTCAGCGTACCTGTCTTGCTCCCCCCTTCCTCCCCTCCCCTAAAAAAAAAAAGGGAATTACGAACGACCACACAAAGTGTGCTTTCGAGTGACAGCAATTCCCAAAACTTTCTCTGCTAAAAGATTTTTTTTTAGACGGGTGAGTTAATGATTGCGTCTGCGGTAGGAGAAGCGAAAGTATGTACGCGAGTTGTTCTGCAGAGGTGCGGAGAGCACACGACAACGGAGCCTGGGCGGCGACAGTGGGGAGGCGAGGGAGCGTGTCAGCAGACCCTCGCCTCCCCACTGTCCCCACAGGCAGGAGGGAAGGGGGAAAGGGAGGGAGAGCGTTCTACCTGCGATCACATGTTTTTTTTTCGGAACAGCGGCGGCCTACAGGGGCAACGGGGGAGGGAGGGAGGTGCGAAAGAGAGCCTTGCCGTGTGAAATACGAGTTTCTTACCTCCTAAGTGACAAAGCTACTTTTATGCACAAGTACATGTGTTTACTATCCAGTTCGTTCTCAGACTCGCTGTCCGTGGTCGGACTGCGGCTTTTTATTGGCGAGGGGCCGAAGTATAGTGGCGCTTTGTTCAATCTGTTTTTAACAGAGCTCGGCGCTTTACCCGACACGAAATCTGTGGACTGGATTCTTTGCGCCATCTTCCTCGATCGAGCTTGGGACGCAGATTAGACACGCACTGCCTCAGCGCCTGGCTGGAACTTCGTGTTCAGTCGAAGCTTCGCTGAATGGCGCTCCCACTGCTCCCATTGAATGATGCTTCAACTGATGCTCCCACTGAATGATGCTCACACAAACGTCCATCATACAAAGAGACGCAGTGTTCGCTGGAGACAGGATGATCGAATTATCTGAGGACACGCTCCACGCATGTTTGAGGAATGTTTGCCTCAAAACATGTGTATTCTGCGAACATTGTCTGCAGACAGTTTTTGTATGACCATAGACTCCTATACTACACTGACGAAGCCTGGCAGATCGCCACGAGAAGCGGCCGCCGAAATGGAAAAGGTGGAGCGGCAGACAACGGATGAGAGGAGAGCCACGTGACTGGCGCCCCGCTGCGGCGAGGCGCCGAAACACGCTTCTCTCGAGCGAATAAGTGTGTTTCGGGTCCTTGCCGCTGCAAAAGCTGTGCGCTGACGTCCAGGTTCGCGGAGAATGGGCTCTTTGATGCTCTATGCCGCTAGATCCTGGCGCTCCAAACCTGCGACCGGGCACTCTATGACTCCGTCGTCGAACTGCCAGGCTTTGTGAGTATAGAGGAGGCTTTGGTATAAGTTAACTGATATGACCGTCGTAAAAGGAAAAAAAAACAACAAAAAAACAGGCCTTGGACAGTGTTTGCAGACTTTCTTTTGTGTGAAATAATAGCAGTCGGACCGCGACTTGAGAATTTTGATGGGACGCTAAGGCCACAAGATGCATTTCTTTTTCGTTTCTTTTTGTTTTTTAGTTCTTCCAGGTGGTTTTTAGTGCGCATTGACGTGACACTCAGAGACGCTTTCGTTGAGCCGCGGCTGATACGCGATGAAACGTTGGAGCGCCGCTTTCACGGTCACCTCTTGCGGACGTTGCAGACGGTGGCAGAGTATAGCAGACGGCGCCTGACGGTGGTGAAGTAGCTAACGGTGGCAAGCGGAGCCCGGACGCTGAAGGGTCATGCGCCTGTTTCTCTCGGCTAAGGGGCGCTGTAACGTCAATAAAACGCGACCACAAAAAAAAAAAAAAAGGCGCCTTCATTGTAGCGTTTGCAAGTCGCGACCATTTAATGCTAATGCGAAACGGCGCCCTATAGCGTCCCACCATGCGCGATCCACGGGCGTAAGCTATCCTGTCTCAGCGTTCTTCAGCGTCATTCCGCGGGCACTAAAGGCTCTGTTATACTCCGACGTTGAGTGCAGCCAACGTAGCGTAGCGCAGATCGTGGGCCTTTCATTAGCCGGCGAGCAGGAGCTCAATATCTGTGACCAATCGGTATCTGTGTGCGCTGTGCTACGCCACGTCTGCTACGCTCGACGCCGGAGTATAATAACGCCTTAACCGAGCGTTTGAAAGGACGCAGTGCGACGCACAACGAAAACGGGGCCTAAATATATCCGACTTTGCTCGTGAGGGGCGCTGCTCAAAACTTGAGAGCTACAGGTCTATGCTCGTACGACTAGCAGACGGTGTCAGAGGCCAGACTAGACAAACCGGACGTCGCGACAGGGGGACATTAGACTTGCGTACGATGTTTGGCCGAGCAGCCAAGCTAATCTAGTACTAATGGAGGGCACGTACACCCCAACAAAATTGCGTTTCGCGGCGTAAATATTCTTCGTTTTTTGTTTTTGTTTTGTAGCCGGGAAGGGTTTGTTTTGTGTAACATAAATGTGGGTCCTATTTAGGCACTATCTTGGTCAGTGGTTCTTACATGGGAGTCCGCGAAGGCACTCCAGGGATCCTCAAAGCCTTGTCTCATCAATAAAACCCGACAATATATTTTTTTTTTTAAATTGAGAAGAAACGTTTTAAGTTTTGGATGAGTTTTCTCGTATGTATGTAGAGGAGAGAAGCCTACTTCAGCTATTCTTTAGATATCCATTTAAGAAATCTTTATCATAATTAACTTATACCTTTCCCTTCCCCTCATCATGAACGGGGCCCTCCATCATCTCCGCCGATCCACAAGGGGTCTGCGAATCATCAATGGTTGAAAACCCTTCCCTCCTGCTGACGAAGACTGAGGTTGAATTTTTAAAATCCGAGATAACCCTACCACCCTGACTTGCACTTCGCGTTTTTTATCTTTCCTTCTCTCCCCTACTCCTACTGGGTATAGTCGGCTGCTTGCTGTTGAAAGTTTACTCGTCTGTTGCTAGTTGAAAGATGTGGTTGTGTAGTATCTGTTTTAATTGTTTTATTCTTTCTTCATCCATGAAAACCCCTGATCTGTGGAATACAAATTTTTGCAATTAAATTATTATTAGTTATAGTATTATTATTACTGCATGATGCAGCGTTATATCAGTACTATATCACTAATATAGCTTTAACTCGGCGCTTTTTGCGGCGCTGACTAATAGCTTCGATGTAGCGCTGTGGTGTATGTGTGAACGTGTTGAAGGTATTTAGCGCACAAGGCAGAGAGAAGAAGAACAGGACAGAAAAGAGGGCGCTTCTTCGCCTCTCTACCTTGTGCGCTAAGTACCTTCAATATGTCAGACTGCCAACTGCTCAAATGTCAACTTTACTGCAGTGTGAACATGTCTTTAGCGCGAAATACTTCCGTCCTGGCCTCGAACAACAATGAACTAAACTACCTATAAAATTGTCGTTTCAACTTTCCCTAGCAATATCAACCTGTAATTATCTATACGATATCTTTCCAAATCTGATTTACCGTATTTACTCGAGTAATAGCTGCACTATTTATAAACAAGGCCCTTCTGTCTACTTTCCTGCAAAACACATATACAGCCAGTCATTGCGTTGCACTTAAATGGCGCAGCGAATAAATAGATCAAGAGCACGTGTCTCGACACAAATGCAAACTTCACAGATGGTA